TTTTTCGGTCGCGCACCAGTCACGTAGCTGTGTTTGGAGATTTGTGTTTGTCCTTCGTCACTCTTATTCCCCTTCTCCAGGGATTATTTTAATTATTTTCATCATTCTTGTCCAGCTCGCTTGCACCTTTGCATTTAATTGCATTATAATCGTAACCTTAAATTGCAAGCTTCAACCTTGTTGGTGTTAGACTGGTGGCGGCTGATAAAACCTGTTCGCTCTACTGACGTCTAACCCCTGGTTAGCTCAGTTGGTAGAGCGCTCCACTTGTAATAGAGAGGTCCCGGATTCCATACCCGGACCAGGCGGATTTTTTCGGTCGCGCACCAGTCAAGTAGCTGTGTTTGGAGATTTGTGTTTGTCCTTTGTCCCTGTTGTTCCCCTTCTCCAGGAATTATTTTAATTATTTTCATCATTCTTGTCCAGCTCGCTTGCACCTTTGCATTTAATTGCATTATAATCGTAACCTTAAATTGCAAGCTTCAACCTTGTTGGTGTTAGACTGGTGGCGGCTGATAAAACCTGTTCCTCTACTGACGTCTAACCCCTGGTTAGCTCAGTTGGTAGAGCGCTCCACTTGTAATAGAGAGGTCCCGGATTCCATACCCGGACCAGGCGGATTTTTTCGGTCGCGCACCAGTCACGTAGCTGTGTTTGGAGATTTGTGTTTGTCCTTCGTCACTCTTATTCCCCTTCTCCAGGGATTATTTTAATTATTTTCATCATTCTTGTCCAGCTCGCTTGTACCTTTGCATTTAATTGCATTATAATCGTAACCTTAAATTGCAAGCTTCAACCTTGTTGGTGTTAGACTGGTGGCGGCTGATAAAACCTGTTCGCTCTACTGACGTCTAACCCCTGGTTAGCTCAGTTGGTAGAGCGCTCCACTTGTAATAGAGAGGTCCCGGATTCCATACCCGGACCAGGCGGATTTTTTCGGTCGCGCACCAGTCAAGTAGCTGTGTTTGGAGGTTTGTGTTTGTCCTTTGTCCCTGTTGTTCCCCTTCTCCAGGAATTATTTTAATTATTTTCATCATTCTTGTCCAGCTCGCTTGCACCTTTGCATTTAATTGCATTATAATCGTAACCTTAAATTGCAAGCTTCAACCTTGTTGGTGTTAGACTGGTGGCGGCTGATAAAACCTGTTCCTCTACTGACGTCTAGCCCCTGGTTAGCTCAGTTGGTAGAGCGCTCCACTTGTAATAGAGAGGTCCCGGATTCCATACCCGGACCAGGCGGATTTTTTCGGTCGCGCACCAGTCACGTAGCTGTGTTTGGAGATTTGTGTTTGTCCTTCGTCACTCTTATTCCCCTTCTCCAGGGATTATTTTAATTATTTTCATCATTCTTGTCCAGCTCGCTTGCACCTTTGCATTTAATTGCATTATAATCGTAACCTTAAATTGCAAGCTTCAACCTTGTTGGTGTTAGACTGGTGGCGGCTGATAAACCCTGTTCGCTCTACTTACGTCTAGCCCCTGGTTAGCTCAGTTGGTAGAGCGCTCCACTTGTAATAGAGAGGTCCCGGATTCCATACCCGGACCAGGCGGATTTTTTCGGTCGCGCACCAGTCACGTAGCTGTGTTTGGAGATTTGTGTTTGTCCTTTGTCCCTGTTGTTCCCCTTCTCCAGGAATTATTTTAATTATTTTCATCATTCTTGTCCAGCTCGCTTGTACCTTTGCATTTAATTGCATTATAATCGTAACCTTAAATTGCAAGCTTCAACCTTGTTGGTGTTAGACTGGTGGCGGCTGATAAAACCTGTTCGCTCTACTGACGTCTAGCCCCTGGTTAGCTCAGTTGGTAAAGCGCTCCACTTGTAATAGAGAGGTCCCGGATTCCATACCCGGACCAGGCGGATTTTTTCGGTCGCGCACCAGTCAAGTAGCTGTGTTTGGAGATTTGTGTTTGTCCTTTGTCCCTGTTGTTCCCCTTCTCCAGGAATTATTTTAATTATTTTCATCATTCTTGTCCAGCTCGCTTGCACCTTTGCATTTAATTGCATTATAATCGTAACCTTAAATTGCAAGCTTCAACCTTGTTGGTGTTAGACTGGTGGCGGCTGATAAAACCTGTTCCTCTACTGACGTCTAACCCCTGGTTAGCTCAGTTGGTAGAGCGCTCCACTTGTAATAGAGAGGTCCCGGATTCCATACCCGGACCAGGCGGATTTTTTCGGTCGCGCACCAGTCACGTAGCTGTGTTTGGAGATTTGTGTTTGTCCTTCGTCACTCTTATTCCCCTTCTCCAGGGATTATTTTAATTATTTTCATCATTCTTGTCCAGCTCGCTTGCACCTTTGCATTTAATTGCATTATAATCGTAACCTTAAATTGCAAGCTTCAACCTTGTTGGTGTTAGACTGGTGGCGGCTGATAAAACCTGTTCGCTCTACTGACGTCTAACCCCTGGTTAGCTCAGTTGGTAAAGCGCTCCACTTGTAATAGAGAGGTCCCGGATTCCATACCCGGACCAGGCGGATTTTTTCGGGCGCGCCAGTCACGTAGCTGTGTTTGGAGATTTGTGTTTGTCCTTCGTCACTCTTATTCCCCTTCTCCAGGGATTATTTTAATTATTTTCATCATTCTTGTCCAGCTCGCTTGCACCTTTGCATTTAATTGCATTAAAATCGTAACCTTAAATTGCAAGCTTCAACCTTGTTGGTGTTAGACTGGTGGCGGCTGATAAAACCTGTTCCTCTACTGACGTCTAACCCCTGGTTAGCTCAGTTGGTAGAGCGCTCCACTTGTAATAGAGAGGTCCCGGATTCCATACCCGGACCAGGCGGATTTTTTCGGTCGCGCACCAGTCACGTAGCTGTGTTTGGAGATTTGTGTTTGTCCTTCGTCACTCTTATTCCCCTTCTCCAGGGATTATTTTAATTATTTTCATCATTCTTGTCTAGCTCGCTTGCACCTTTGCATTTAATTGCATTATAATCGTAACCTTAAATTGCAAGCTTCAACCTTGTTGGTGTTAGACTGGTGGCGGCTGATAAAACCTGTTCGCTCTACTGACGTCTAACCCCTGGTTAGCTCAGTAGGTAGAGCGCTCCACTTGTAATAGAGAGGTCCCGGATTCCATACCCGGACCAGGCGGATTTTTTCGGTCGCGCACCAGTCACGTAGCTGTGTTTGGAGATTTGTGTTTGTCCTTCGTCACTCTTATTCCCCTTCTCCAGGGATTATTTTAATTATTTTCATCATTCTTGTCCAGCTCGCTTGCACCTTTGCATTTAATTGCATTATAATCGTAACCTTAAATTGCAAGCTTCAACCTTGTTGGTGTTAGACTGGTGGCGGCTGATAAAACCTGTTCGCTCTACTGACGTCTAACCCCTGGTTAGCTCAGTTGGTAAAGCGCTCCACTTGTAATAGAGAGGTCCCGGATTCCATACCCGGACCAGGCGGATTTTTTCGGGCGCGCCAGTCACGTAGCTGTGTTTGGAGATTTGTGTTTGTCCTTCGTCACTCTTATTCCCCTTCTCCAGGGATTATTTTAATTATTTTCATCATTCTTGTCCAGCTCGCTTGCACCTTTGCATTTAATTGCATTATAATCGTAACCTTAAATTGCAAGCTTCAACCTTGTTGGTGTTAGACTGGTGGCGGCTGATAAAACCTGTTCCTCTACTGACGTCTAACCCCTGGTTAGCTCAGTTGGTAGAGCGCTCCACTTGTAATAGAGAGGTCCCGGATTCCATACCCGGACCAGGCGGATTTTTTCGGTCGCGCACCAGTCACCTAGCTGTGTTTGGAGATTTGTGTTTGTCCTTTGTCCCTGTTGTTCCCCTTCTCCAGGAATTATTTTAATTATTTTCATGTTCCATGAGTTTGCACGGTATGCTTGTTAGTGAAATTGGTCTAAATTTGTTGAGACAATAGGTGTTACCTGACTCGTGCAGAGGAACCACCTTCCCCACCTTCTAGTCGTTCGGGAGCGTACAGATTCCAATGACTGTACACAAATCTTTGATAATATTATAGAAGAATACACTTCGATGTTGTTCGAAAATTTGGGATTAATGCCGTTTGCACCTGGAGAAGAGGCAAGCTTCATATTTCTGGTTAATTTGCATATACCTGCCCAGTCAATAACTATTGGATTCATCGGGAAGAAATCATGAACCGGAATATCGGAAATTACAGCCGGTGTAATGTTAACAAAGGACAATAAAAATACAGAGTTTAAAACAACACACAACTCTCCCTAGGAACGACCAGTTCGCTTTCAGTAGTAAGCTCAATCAGTTTCTTTTCATTTCCGTTCACCACGTGCCAAACTTTGGGTAGATTGGTTTCCAGTAGCGATGGGAGGGTTTGATTAAAAAACGCAATTTTGGCGACGGTCAAAACACGCGCGTACTCTTCTTCTGCACGACGATAAGCTGTCCATGCACCCTTCTTTGGTCATAGATAGCTTGGCCCGTCGAAAAAGACTCTTTTCCTTGTTCAGTAATTGTTTCAATGATGGCGTAAACCAAGGTGACTGCGAGCTTCTAATTTTACGAAGGGGTAATGCCTGTGTCATACGGGCAACTTGAATGCCCTTTACAACGAATGACATTTGAGCGGACGGCCAATCAGCGCGCGACACTCCGGGCGTAGCGCATTCCACGCGCGAAAGATTGCGAGCTGATTCGCCGATCACGCAAATGTCATTCGTTGTAAATGGCATTCGATTTGCCCGTGTGGCCCGGGTATTAGACACGACTACAACCAGAGTGCTGACTAAACTATGAACTTTGAGTCGCCTCCACTGACGGTGTCCAACCGACCCGGGATATGCCGCTCGAATATATATTTAAGCGTCAAGGTAAGTGCCCCAGAACCGAAGACCGTCATTGCCAGACGACTTCAACGTGTCTGTGTGCTTCCCCGAATCGGGCGGGCGAGAAGCGGATGGTTTTTAACTTAAATATCAAAAATACATTTTACTAAGCATAAAGAAGCCGGAAGCAAGCTTACTTTCGCGCTTACTTTTCAATCCGATTCCAGATAATCCAACGTCGGTCTTGGGACGAAGAGGATGAAGACAAATTCGAGAAATCCGAAAAAGAATATGAGGAAGGATTTTACGGAGGCGTATCTTCGTACTGGATAGGCAAGTTATATCAATCATTGTGTATTTGCTTCTTCGAAAATGCCACCAGCAGATGATAACGAAAACATGCCTAGAATCCCGGCAAACTCCTGTGAACGGAGGTTACATCCACATGTTTCAAGGTGTCAGGTGCCATCGTGACATCACGTCACATGGTAACACGCGATGTGGTAAACCTTCCCGCTGAATTTAGCTTGGAACATATAACGTCCGTCCCGTCGTATCTGTCAGTTACGTTACATGTTTCTCTACAGTCACCCCCAAACAAAACAAAAAAAAAGTCTTAAAAACATATTGCGTTAACAAAAAAAAAAATAAAAAAACAGGTTTTTGAATTAAACAGAAAATAGCAAACGTAGAATCGTATTTTACGAGAATTTTCATCTTGATCATGAGCACAAACAATTATAGAACAATGATTATAGAACTATTATATGCTCTCACTGCTTTAGGAGCGTATCATTATATGTGAAGTATCGTGCATTGAAGAAACAGGTTAATCGCTCTACTTTTAGTAAAATATTTTTTTCTTCCGAATGAACTTTCTATAAATTGGTTTGATCTGTGATTGTAGTCAATGCCAGGTCAGTAAAGTCAATAAAGTCAGCGAGACTTTGCCAACGATTGCGGGCTTTTAGACTCAAAACGAGATGCTGATTCCTGCAGCTTTATTAACTTTACTGACGCCAGGCCAGTAAAGTTAGCGGTGATTTCCGGTTAGAAATTTTATGCTGATTTCTGCAGCTTATGTTACAAGCGAGCTTAGGCCTTGCATCAGTCATAAAGTAATCCATGGCAAGAAGAGTTTTGAGCTATACTTCGTTTCAGCTTCGGTCCAGACGCAGCCAAAGCTACCAGCGCGAGCTCCGGGCTTTCAGCATCCCTGCCAAGCACGCGCGCTCGTGCAGTGCAAGCCCTGTTCTGGACATCGGCTGCGTCTGGACCGAAGCTGAAACGAAGTATAGTTTTATCTTGGAGGGTGTGTTGGTGTTTTATTCGTAAACGTATTTTTTACTTCTCACTAAAGGGAATGAAAATATTCATGCCCTCACGACCCATCCAAATAACGGACAAGTTCTCAGAATCGAACTGACAAAGCAGAATAAAGAAAAAATTATTGTAAGCTACGGTAAATTTCAAGTCGGTTCCCAAAGCGACGGCTACATGCTGACCTACGATGGTTACTGGAGCCCTAATGGTAAATGTCGACATTTTCATCATGCCTCTCGCATCGTCTGCAGTGCTGCGTTATTCGTTTGGTGCTGGAACTTTAGAAAGACGTTGTGCGTGAGGTTAGATACAAATTAAAAATTTAACACCTTACCTGAATGGCTTAGTTAGGATCCATGGTGTGAGCTTTAGTAATACTAGCGTGAACCGCGTCTGTCAGTGCTGGGTTAAGGAAGGGAGCTAAGCAGGCTGCAGCCGAGGGCCCAATTTCTAAATGTAGAGGAGGGGGAATCCTTAATTTAATGTGTTTAAATGTAACCAAAGATAATTGTACGAGGAGCCAGGGCTTTGTTATGAAGCAATTTCGTTTAGTTCAAGTTACACTGCAAGGGATTCAAATGCAGGGACTTGCCACCTTGCTGCATTTGCTGATGGGTAAACGCGGAGACTTTTAGCCTAGTTTTCTCTTCATCACTGGTACCTAAATGGTGACGGGAAAGGCGCTTCTTATCACCTTGTCTGAGCAAGAGCTGATTGCGCTGAAAGAAAAGCTCATGGCACTCTTCGAAAGACACAACCAGATGCGCGTCATTCCGCCAGTTGCGACCTCTGATCTCTACTTTGTTAAAATATACAAGTACTCGTACACACGTAGAAAAAAGGTAATAAAATGATTGTAACTGCAGCAGTTGATGGCCCGCTATGACCGATACCACTTTACTAGTTGTTTCACATCAGACACGAAACAGCAGGATTCAACGTGCTTGTAAAGAAAATGCCTAAATATCTAAACTCGCTAACCTCCTTAAAAACAATCTCATCAACGTCGTGTCTTAAAACTAAAGGTGGTTTCGTGTTGACTATCACACATAGACTTCTCTAAGATGATTTTTTTTCACTTTTCATTTCATTTTACTAAACACATGCAGAAAGGATTTATTAAGTAGCTGTAATAATAACTAAAACGTCGTCCTTATACAAAGCGCAATAATAATAATAATAATAATAATGACTTTATTTTCAGTGCCCAAAAACAACCTCAGCGGTCTTCACTTTGGTGCACCTGTTAAATCCTAGAAACACGTTGGTATATTACCATCACCCAAAAACAAATAAACAAACAAAATGTTATCAGTAAATTACAAGGTTATTCAACTGATGGCGGTACAATGAAATGGATGTACAGAAATCGAGGTGCTTTGGAGCAATGCTGTTGTATAATGTCTGAATCCGAGAAAGCGGTGAAGTACAACAAGGTGAACGTACATCAAAGCATACGGGATGTCTAGTATGGCGTAATTTAACATGAAAATTAACTTTGCTGAGCATTGATGGCGAATCAATTACACTATTCACAACCTTATGCAAAAATACAAAATCATTAATCGTTCGCCTTTCAGACAAGAGTGTAAGCGAAAATGACCTAAGTATGTATTCATAGTCATAATAACAGCGCCTTTCAAAGTACCTATCGTAAACAATACGAATCAATCTTTTTTGAACATTTTCGATGGTCAAGGCCTGTGCCCTAGATATTGAGTTCCATATTACCGAGGCAAATTCCAAACGTGACCTAACTAAATATTTGTAAAGATGTAACAAACAATGAGGCCTCCTGAAATTCTTCGACAAACGTGATATGATTCCCAGAACTCTCATAGAACTTCCTACCACAAAAGATACATGATTTCTAAAAGACAAGGCACTATCAACGTACACGCCAAGATCCTTCACACACAGTACACGTTCAATTGGCATGATATCAAGATGATAAGTAAAACTGAAAGGCACATGGCGTCGGCACAAGGATAGGACCTTTGTTTTTGCAGGATTAAGCAATAATAGATTTTGTTCACACCACTGAAAAATGAGGGACACATCACGCTGTAGGATCTCGCAGTCCACAGGAGAGTGAATCATTCTAAACAACTTGATATCATCAGCAAAAAGTAACAACTGGGAACTCTGGACACAAGATACTATATCATTTATAAATATCAAAAACAAGAGAGGGCCCAGGATTGACCCCTGTGGAACACCTGACGTTGAAAAGTAACTATGGGAATAACTATCAACAACGCGAACAGAGTTCAAACGGAGTGACAGGTAACTCTGGAACCACTGACATAACTCTGGGGATAGACCATATAAAAATAATTTATGCAAGAGTAATTTGTGACTGACCTTATCAAAAGCTTTAGTCATATCAAAGTATATTGTGTCTACCTGCCCCCTATTTGTAACAAATGGAGCGCAAAAATCAAGAAAAGTACACAAATTAGTCTGGACAGACCTACCACTCAGGAACCCATGCTGCAAAGGTGTTAATTTTTGACGGAAATAAAAGAGCATCCGGGTATGTACAACAATCTCGAAAACCTTAGAAAACCCACAGAGCAGAGAAACAGGACGATAATTCGTAACAACCGAGGCATCACCACTCTTTAAAATCGGAACAATAACTGATTTCTTCCAAAGAGATGGAAAGACCCCAGAACTAAGCGAAAGATTAAATATGTGCTTTAAAATGGGAATAAACAAATCACCGCATCCTTTGATTATAAAACTCGGTATACCATCAACACCACTTGAAAACTTTGGTTTTAATTTTCTTATCGCTTCCGCAATTTCGACATGATCCACTTGTACGGAATGCAAGAAGTCATGACAGCTCATCTTATCGTCACCAGGCTGGAAAGACCCGTGGCAGCTAGTGTAACATTTGCTAAAATAATCGGCAAAAATATTTGCAACGTCATCAGGCGACGAATGATAGGCCGGTGTGTGCACTACATCATCACGTAAACAGATGCCTCGACTTGCATCGCGCGTGTGGTGTTTTACAAACTGCCAGAACTTTTTTGGTCGACGAATCAAGCTATTCTCAACGCTATCGAGGTGAAAACGTTTATCACGCTTGAACAATTTTTTTGCTAAAGCACGATATATGCTAAATTTGGTGTACCAAAGTGTATAACCAGTATTTTTGAAGAGTCTGAAAATGTTCTTTTTTGCGCAGGTATACTTTAAGTTCTTGCGAAAACCAGTTAGGATAGATGGAAATTTTGTTTATGTTTTTAGGCACAAAGCTATCGATAGCATCTTTAGTAACTGAGGTAAGCGTCTCGCTAACGCGATCGACATCCGACATAGCAAGAACATTGCTCCAGTCAAAATTCTCGATAGATCTATAAACACTCATATAATCACCTTTCGAAAAGCAATAATTTGATGGCATACACGATACTCGTGACCTGAAGGGAAGATAAAACTGGACAATAAAAGGTGGATGAAAAACATCGATCTGTACAAGGGGATCGAAGGCAGGACTCAAGTTTAAAATCGGTATATTCGAAAGAGCAAGATCAAGAATATTTCCTACGCTATTTTTTATCGTATTGTGCTGTTCGAGCCCGCAGAAGTTTATAAAAGATAATAACGAAGATGCTTTGTTAGTTGTGATGCTGTTGCTATTCACATTTTGAAGTGCCCAGTCAACACCTGGTAAATTAAAGTCTCCATATATTTGCACACGATACTTATCAAATTAATTTGTTTTCTGATTGCCTCAAAATGCTCCGCCTCAAAAAGAGGCGGAAAATAATACGTACCCAAAAGATAATTAAAACCGTCACTTGCATTAATTTCCACCCATACACATTCCGAGTAAGATTCAAGGTCAAACCTTCTATGCGAGGCAACAGAGACTTCACAGGCAATCAAAACACCACCGCCTAGCTTCTGCCCTGTACAAGAATAGTCTCTATCTCGGCGATATACATTGAATTTCGGACTGAAGTAATTAGTGTCTGGTAAACTATTGCAAAGCCACGTTTCAGAAAGACAAAAAATATTGTGCGGAGAACCTACCAAATTTGACATAAACTCGGCAGCCTTCGTACGTAAGCCTCTTACATTCTGATAGAAAACACTAACCTTCTGGGCCATTTCCACTATCTACCTCGCTAACAGGGTGAACACGAGAGCTGTCAAGTCGGCCAAAAAACTGATGAAAAATGCTGCCCTCTGGCCACACTTCAGGATTGTTGATAGCATTAAACATCATCCGGAGAAGGACGGATTTTATCCGGAATGTTACCTATCATATCGTTAATACATAAAAGGGAAATAAAAAAGGCCCTAACACAGATTCCGGCGAGACACCTAAGCTAGGCAACATTTCCAAAGAGGCAGCCTCCTAAGTAAAACCAATAATCAAGTCGAGTAACAAAAAATTTGGCAAAGCTTCGCAAACTTCTATGGCTGCATGGTATACGTAATGATCAGTATAATTTTAGAATGAAGAGACACACAGATTTCCACCCTCCGGCCCCTGATTGGCTCTACCGAAATTAAGGAGTTCACATACACTCGGACAACGCATTGAGTGTATGTTCTACTTTTAAGCGGTCCAGCTTTTTTATCAGCTGTAATGCCAGCCATGCGGACAGAGAAAAATAAAATGCGATCAACGAATGAACATGTCCCCCTGGCATAAGCGTACATAACGAGCCGGGAGTTCGGATACTCGACTTCTTACCCAAGACTTTTGCTTCGAGAACACGGATCAGCCGTCTGCATGTCTGAGTACGGAAAACAGACTCTCCCGTAGCATGAGGAGGGCTCTGGGATTGTCCGAAGTGATCAGCTAGGTGGCCGGAAGTTGCGGCCGTTACTTCCGACGTTACTTCCGAAAGACTGTACAAAAGTCTAAAACGCTATATGTCACCGAAACTAAAGCTAGTGTGGAGGCGAGCTGGTTCAATGCTGACTTGTCAACCCAAGAGCGGGGGAAAACGTAACGGACAGCACAAAGCTTTAATTTGGAGCTTTGTTTTTGTCCGTCCCGTTTTTCCTCCGTTTCTGGAATGTCACTATAGGCGAAATGTGTAGGCGTGCTGCCTATATGTTGTATTGGTGGAACACTTGATTTCAACCACCTTTTGTCCAAACCGCGTTGATATTTGAGGTAAAATAAAATGTGTCAATCAATCAATCAATAAATCAAGCACTCAATAAACCAATCAATCAATCAATAAAAGTCTTTTTGCGCCAAACACTAAATGGTGAAGCGTAGGAGCGGCGCCAGTTAATGTATTTGAAGTCCAAGGCTTCCTTTTACCGTTCTATTTGCAAACTATTTGCGATTCTAAGCATCCCGAGTTCTTTGACCACACACAGCTTTTCTGATTGGAAACGATGAATTGAAAATTGTTGCGGACGTGGATACACTGTCAAATACCCTACCTCTATGACGCTTAACTGCTCCAGCCTCCAAGTGTCGATGCAATGTTCCCTTGTTCTCAGTATAGCGGTATTTACCAGCAATGCATGTGACTAATTGGCACGATAAGTCGGGAAATAAACTAATAATTGTTGATTAACTTTTTTATTAGTGAAAGTAAACATGGTTTCCATTAAAAACTTAGAAATCGCAAATGTAAATCTTTTCATGCATATTTTCGCACCGCCGTGCCTCGCGCCTGCTGCACGAACGGTAACTTTGGCAGATCCCCGGATTTCCCACGCGTGCATAAAGTATTTCTAAAGTCGACTGATTTAGTAGTAGCTAAAAAAGTAAAATAGTAAATATTAGTTAATTACCATACTTATCGCAACGATTATCCCCCTGCTTTATGTCCCCCTGGCCGTATATAACTCACCTGCATAGACCCCAATAATGCAGCATTCACAATTTTTTGTTTTTGTTTCTTTAAACGTGTAAAACTTTAAGCAGCCTGTTTAGCAGTGTTACAGTGGTCACCCTCATTGAGTCCTTTACATTGTGTTTGCGCAGGTACTGAATACGACGGCCTGGCGTTCCACAACAGAACCAAGTTTTCCGTCATGAAACAGAACGAGAGGGTAGACAGTTGCTCAAAATCACGAAGAAGTGGTGGCTGGTGGTATCCGCCTTTTGGTTGCCTCTTTTCGAATCTTAATGGGCGTAAATTCAAAAGTAGTGTTCCGCAAAATAACATGGGCCATGGTATTACCTGGTACAAAATAGGCGATATGAGTTCCCTCCAAGACGTCTACGAAAGTGTGGAGATGAAGGTCAGGGATGCCGATTATAAATTCTGCACGGGCGAAATGGCCACTATGTTCTCTTACACCTAATGTCCGTAGTAGTGCAAAAAGAACTAACTCGAGCCGAAGTTTTCATTCACCTGTGAGTTTCTCGCTTTCTTAATTTTATCTGCGAACATAAAAAAATAACATATGAATAAAATACTACTTCTGAAACACAAGAGGCTTGTCACGACACTCCCGGCTCTTGCTCAGGTTCACCCCAAAATTATGTGGCTCTGCCCAACTAGAGGGTACCTTTCCATTGCCAGATGAGATTCGAGCCAAATTTCAAAAGTGCCGTACAACATGTGTTCATACAGCGGCATTTGGAGTTATTAGGAAGTTTTCGTAGACCGTTTTCGCCGTCACGGCAATGCCCTCCGCAACCCGCTACAAAACCCGGAACTCTACAGTCAAGGCTACCGGCGCGCAGGCGCAGTAGCAACTTCTTCGTTGCGGAGGGCTTAGCGGAGGGGGAAACGCGGTCTACGAAAACTCCTTATTTGCGCATGTTCTCGACGGCAACGTGGTCCACGCTGCGTTATTTATGACTTGCGGTTTTTGACGTGGACCACGCACTAGTGAAGACCTAACATTTATTACCACGATTCTTAATTAAATAGCAGAATATTTGACTTAAAATAGCGTCTGGTGTCTATTGTACAGGGGACGTCAGGGGGAATGCAGCACGGCTGACAACCTGTGATTTACAGCGATAAGACAGTGATAGCTGTTAGTGGGACACTTCGTGGTTTTGCGCTGTCTAATGCGCTCCATATCGATGCGGGCCATTTCCGGCACTATGCCAAAAACATTCCATGGACCGCTGATGACGAGGTAACAAGCAAGAAAGAGAACATCCATGGCCATGCTAGGTAGCAAGATAGCATGCATGGTTAGTGAAACAGTCCCCGCCGGGCATCCGGCGGGGGCTGTTTCATCCGGTAACTCGCTTGCAAAAACTTAGATCCGGTAACTCGCTTGCAAAAACGGGCGATACGATTTATAACATTTTCGAAAAACACTAACCCTAGTAGACCGCTTTTCCAATCGCTAAACGTGTTGCCATTTAGTTGTATTTACAAATTAAAAATAGCTCAAACAGTTCGTAAAATCATAGAGTCTAATAATCCCCTCTCTTTGAACATATTTCAATTCAATTCAATGTTTATTTAATGAGATGAAGATTTTAGCCCCATACTTTGGGGCCGGCTACTTCAATGCTAGTAATGGGGTAAAGTATGATATGATATGTTCAATAATTATGAAATCTGGGCATAATGAATAACAAAGTAAACTATGAACGTGCTGCGTTGATATCACAAGCAAGTGCACTTTGAGAAGTACGATATGTACAGTATTATACAGTGGTATAAAATATGTGCAATTAAATCCTGCTATACCAGTAACTCGTAATCATTGAACTTAATATTTGGCTTCTATCTTTGAGTCCTTCAGAAATGCAGTTAGTGAGGCTAATGCACGCTTTTGTTTCTTTAAGTCGGGCCAAGGGCCTAGAACTTTGGCGAGAGAAAATGGACGATTGTCGAGTATCCCGAGACTAATCCGTAAGCGGGCGCGCCACTGATCATATCTCGGACAGTCCATGATTAAATGCTCGACGTCTTCGACCGGGTTGTCGCACTTGCAACTCGGTGTCTCTACTTGTTTTATCCGGTGAAGGAAGCTTCCCGTGTATGCTACCTGAAGTCGTAGGCGATGGATAAGAGTGTCGATTGACCTGGCTGAATAGGTGTACACTGGGCAACGGAGGTCCGGATCGATTAGACGGATCAGGCTGTCTTGTGGGATGCTGCTAAGCCATTCATCGTGAGACATTCGCTCACGTAGTCGACGGATGTATCTTTTGGCGTCGCTCTTTGTGAAAGGTGTAAGGTGGACGTTGTTGCTTGAATGGGCTGCGGTAGCCAATTGGTCAGCTTGGTGATTTCCTGAAACTCCGGTATGCCCGGGGACCCACTGTAGCTGAACAGTGTTGCCAAATTCGGTGGCATCAGAGAGTTCTAAGTAAATTCTGTGTACAAGGAAGTTGTGTTCACTACGACTATTCATAGTCTTAATAGATTGCAAAGCTGCCTTTGAATCAGTACATATTACCCAAGAATTCGCTGCCGAGTTGTTTTTTATGTACGTTGCAGCCGCGAGTAAAGCATGTAATTCCGCAGTGGTTGAGGAAGTAGGATGCGATAGTCGAAAGGATGACCAATGGTTAAAATCAGGCACAACAAAGGCTGATGTCGATCCGTCTTCAGTGGTTGATCCGTCAGTATACACGTGGATGTCATCTTTATATTTTTCTTCCAGATGTGAAAGAGTCAATGTTCTTGCAATCTGTGTGTTAACTGATGTTTTTGTTTGCATGCCTGGAATGTCCATGCTGATCTCCAGTAAAGGTAGCGTCCAGGGTGGTTTACAGATCTCTTGAATCCAGTTAGGTTGTTCGGGAATCCATAATGGAAGAGAATTCAATGTGGAAAGAAAGTTTGTCCCTTTGCGAGTAAAAATATCATTGAACAGAGGCCGCGTGGAGAGTCGAAAGAAATTACGACATATCTCCGGTGTTCTTAGAATATGTATAGTCGGCTCTCTTGCCGTAACGAGTACAAGCCCGCTGGATGTTGATCGCGGTAAACCTAGGCATACTCTTAAGCTTCTTGCTAGCATGTAGGTAAGGCGAGACTCTGATGTCCGGGAAAGTCCGTTTAACACCGGAATGGAATATGCAATCGCTTGTCGTATTAGCGCCGTGTGGAATGAGAGCATCGCATCTATTGATGCTCCCCATCTTGCCCCCGCAATGCAGCGAAATACATTAATCACACAATTAATTCTACTCTCTAACATGTCTAAATGTTTGGACCAAGATAGAGATTGATCTATAATTACGCCAAGAAATCTATAGGATTTAACCCTTTGAATTGATGCTCCGTTGAGATCTAGCCTAAGCCCAGGGAGTTTCTTTCTTGTAAATGGCAGAAATGCTGATTTCGCGGCAGAGAGTTCCATTCCTCGTTCTTTTAGAAATCTAAAAGTGGTGTCTAAGCCCGTTTGTAACTTATTCTTTAGGATATCGCGAGATGAACCAGAGATCCATATACATATGTCATCCGCATAGATCGATATTTTTAAAGGTGATTCAAATTTCTGCGGTAGCTGTGCCATTACTGCATTGAAAAGAGTAGGGCTCAGCACGCTGCCTTGGGGTACTCCATGGTGTATTTCATGTCTCATGCTGTCCCCATCGTTGGTTTTTACTATTATGTTCCTACAATAAAGAAATTCTTTTATCCACCGAAGCATCCGTCCACGTACTCCAAGCCGTACGAGTCCTTCAATAACGTGAGCATGGCTAACAGTGTCGAATGCTCGACGTATATCTAGGAAGAGTGCAACTGTAAAGTTTCCATTGTTGCTTTCGTGTTCAACGGATGTGGTGAGATCTAAAATGCCATCCATTTTGCACCTTCGAGGGCGAAATCCTGTTATCTCTTCGGGGAACGCTTCACTTGTTTCGAGCCACCACTGTAAGCGATTATGTATCATCTTCTCAAGTAGTTTACCGACGCAACTTGTTAAGCTGACAGGACGGAATGAATCTAAATTTAACGGCGATTTTCCAGGCTTTAGTAGTGGAACTACCTTAGCCAGCTTCCATGATTCAGGTATCTTTTCTGTTCTCCAAATTTCATTATATATTTCAAGAAGTGCGGCAGTAGCGGCAGGGCCAAGATTGGAAAGAGCGTCATAGGTGACTTTATCAAGACCAGGAGCTGTTGATTTTCGAATACTTTGTAACGCGCACTCCATTTCACAAGTGTTGAATTCACAGTCTAGGTCTGTTTGCACTGAGTGCAGCTCTTTCGTGTATGCACGAGTCGCTTTCTCGTAAGAAGAACGGTATTCTATAGAGGACACCATATCACTTTGTTGCGTTAGCAAAGCACAATATTCATTCGCAATTACTACCTCCGATGTACCTCGAAGGAGAGCTAGAGCCCGGAAAGGGTATTTTTGTATTACTGGTGTACGGAGAGAACGAAGTATCTTCCATACCTTCGGTATCGGAGTGAATGGAGTTAGAGTACTGCTGAACTTCTTCCACCGGCGAATGGAGAGAATTTGTAGCTCTCGTCGTATTAGTTTGTGAATGTGTTAGGCCTCATTGTAGTCCTCAACACGGCCAGATCTTCGATAACGGCGTTCTGCTCTGCGCCTTATTGCCCTTAATTTTTCGTATTCGCCATTGACGCCGACGTGTCCACTGGGTACGTTCACAAGACGCGTTGCTCGTTCACAATTGTTTAAAACGGAGATTGCAAATTCCTCGGGTTCCTTTACATTGGGAAGGTTGTGAGGGTTGAAGTGCCTGAACATTTTCCAATTCGTAATCCGAACTCGATAATGCTGTCCACGAACATCGAAAATTGGGTGTTGAATGAGAATTGGGAAGTGGTCACTGCCTCGGGTTTCTCTATCAGTCGTCCATGTCGCTTGAGGTGAAATGTCGGGAGAACATAGTGTCAGATCCAAATAGCTGCAATAGGTATGGCCCCGGACGAACGTTGGGGACCCGTCGTTGAGGACACAGATGTTGTTCTCGTCCATATATTTCCCGATTAGATTTCCACGTTGATCGCAGTGATCACTCCCCCACATAGTGTGGTGGCCATTAAAATCTCCACATATTATGTAAGGAGTAGAAATGTGGCTGAAAATTGCAGAGAATTCCGAATGGGTTTGCGGAGTCCGAGGTTCAATGTAGACGCTCACTATATGCAACATTGTCTCACCACATCGTACCTTGCAAGCAACAAATTCTGGAACTTCTGTAGTTGACGAAAACACGGGCACAGATATTATATCTCTCCGTACCGCCAATAACGCTCGGCTTTGGCCGTGTTGGCGAGATGACTTGTATAGTACATAATTTGAAAGACGAAAATCATCATCTACTCTAGCTTCTGATAATGCAAGTATTGGTATATTATATTGTGCAACAAACTGACGAAAATCGCCTGACTTTTTCC